CGGCCATTTTCGATGTTCCTCACCACCCACCAAACCACCCCAACCCAACCCGAAGGCCTCAATTTGCCCTCCATTTCCAGTTGGGGGGGGGTCGGGGAACATCGAAAAAACACGTATGGAGCCCGTACCCCCCCCAACCCGAAATTGGGGTCTTCGGGTTGGGTTGGGGTGGTCTGGTAGGTAGTCAGTTCCGGGGTCGAAAACCGCCGAAACGGCCAAGAACCTGTGGCCGCTTTTTGTTTTACGACGCAAGCATGTCTGGGTGGGCGACGGTGCCGATGCGATGATGCTGATGATGTTGCTGCTGCTGAGGATGATGAGGATGAAGATGAAGATGATGATGAGGATGAGGATGAGGGTGATGAACATGAGAGGAGGATGAGGATGATGATGAGGATGATGATGATGATGCTGCTGCTGCTGATGATGATGATGATGCTGATGATGGTGGTGATGGTGCTGGTGCTGGTGATGGTGATGGTGATGGTGGGTGGTGGTGGTGGTTATGAGGATGATGGCGATGACGAAATCGATGACGATGATGATGCTGATGATGATGCTGATGCTGAAGACGTTGATGTTGTTGATGATGATGATGTTGATGATCCTGGTGATGATGATGGTGATGATGCTGATGATGATGATGGTGATGATGCTTATGATTATAGTGGTGGTGATACTTATGATGATGACGACGATGATGATGACGATGATGGTGATTACGATGACGATTATGATTATGATGATTTTGTTTTTGCTGATGATGACGATGACGACGAAGATGTCCATGAGCATGGTCATGATCATGAACATGAACATGATGATGATGATGATGATGATGATGATGATGATGATGATGATGTTGATGCTGACGAGGAGGAGGAGGAGGAGGAGGAGGAGGAGGATACGTATTAGGAGGATGACGAGCACACGAGATGAAGAACCAGCAAGTTGTTTGGCTCTGACGGGGAGCCGCAACCGCGTGGTGTAGCCGCATCGGTTGCCCGATGGTCCGACACGGCCCACGGCCTGTTGTGACTACACCCTGCCGCGCGAGAGTGACGGCCACCGGTGAATGGAGAGCGACTCTAGCCAGGCAGTACGGGCCCGAGGACGGACGAGGTAAGGCGACTACAGGAATGATGACCCGCCGAACGTCATCACCCAGAAAAGGAAGAACTTGATGAAGTGCGCCTCCGTGAAGCACGCCTCCGTGAAGCACGCCTCCGTGAAGCACGCTCGCCTCCAGGAAGAGCACGCCAGCTCGAAGCACGCCTCGATGAAGCACGCCTGATGAAGCACCTCTGTGATGAATCACTCCCTGAAGCACTCCACGATGACGTACTCCACGCAGAAACACCCCTTGGTGAAGCAATCCCCGGGAAGCAACCTTTGGTAGAACAGTCCTTGGTGAATCATTCTTTGGTGAAGCACTCCTTGGTGAAGCACTCTTTGGTGAAGCACTCCGGGAGGCACGCCTCCACGAAGCACGCCGCCGGGAAGTACGGTTCTTTGAGGCACGCCTCAATGACGCACGCCTCCGTGAAGCACGCTTCCAATGAAACACGCCAGAATTAAGCACCCCCAACGATGCCCTGCACGATGTACCACTCCACAACGAAACACGCCACTGCGAGGAAGCCCTCGACGCAGCCCTCCCCGATGAGGCCCGCCGCGATGCAGCGCACACGCGCGCTCGGTGAAGCACGCCATGGGGAGGCGCGTCCCCGTGAGGCACGCCACGGTAGAGCACGCCAGCTCGAGGCACGCATCTCCGAGGAAGCACGCCACAGTAAAGCCCTCCACGAAGCCCTCCTCGATGAAGTACGCCTCCATGGTGAAGCAAGCCACCCCGATGAAAACCCTGATGAAGCCTTCCATGATGAAGCCTTCGGGGGGGGCCCTTCACGACGTGCCGTTCCGCGATGAAGCACGCCACTCCCTGAGGGAGCACGCCTCCGTGCAGCAAGCCACGATGGAGCACGCCACGATGTAGCACGCCCCGATAACGTTCGAAACAGCGAAGCCCCCCCCCCACGAACCACGAAACAATCCACGGTGAAACACGCCGCGATGAGGCACTCCACGATAAAGCACCCCACGATGAAGCATTCGATGAAGCGCCCCCCGATGCAGGGCTCCCTGATGGAATGCCCCACGATGGTGCGCACCGCGAAAAACCACAACAATATGACACGTTGCGCTGGTAGCCAACTTGAGAGCGCGAGACTCCGCACTAGGAAACCGGGAGGTAGATCACACGACACTGCTGGCACAGTGGAACCATATGGAACCGCCGAGGCCATTGACTGGTCAGCGACTCCAGCCAGGCAGTACGTGCCCGAGGACGGACGAGGCAAGGCGACCATAGAGACGATGATGATGTTTTTGATGATGATTATGGTGAAGATGGTGGCGATGATGATGAGGGTGATGAAAGAGATGATGAGCATGATGATTAACCGATGTTGGTGGCGATGATGATGAAAACAGATGAGGAACATGCTGATGACGTTAACGATGCTGATGATGGTGATGATGATGACGATGGTGGTGATGATGGTGATGGTGATGATGATGGCGATGGTGATGATGGTGGTGATCATGATGATGTTGATGATGATGATCCCATAACTCTGTGGCGATAACGAGCTTCGGGGGGCTGATGCTGATGCTTGTGAGCATGATTAAGATGCGGGTGATGATGATGGCGATGGTGGTGGCGGTGATGATGATGGTGATAATGTGGATGATGCGGATAAACATGATGATGGTGGTGATGATGTTGGTGATGGTGATGATGATTGATGGTGGTTTCTGGTGCTGTGCTGCTGCGCTTGCTTCGGCGTAGCCTGACAGGAAGGCGGCCGGCCCAGCCAGGGGTCCGCGAGCCGGGACCCAGAAAATCCCAAGGCGGGAAATCCACCAACACACGGCGCATCCTCGCCGCTCTTCGCTGGTCCCCCCCAGCTCCTCGTTCATCCTTGCTGCCTTACCTCCTCCTCCTCCTCCTCCTCCTCCTCCTCCTTTTCCTCCTCCTCCTCCTCCTCCTCCTCCTCCTCCCTCCTCCTCCCCCTCCTCCCCTCCTCCTCCTCCTCCTCCTCCTCCTCCTCCTCCTCCCTCCTCCTCCCCTCCTCCCCCTCCTCCTCCTCCTCCTCCTCCTCCTCCTCCTCCTCCTCCTCCTCCTCCTCCTACTCCTACTCCTCCTCCTCCCCCTCCTCCTTTCTGAACTTCCTCTTAGCCCCCAGCGTCTGCCGTTCGCTCTCCGTCCTCGTCGCTCGCCGTCCGCTGCTCGTCCCTCGCTCGCCGTCCCCGGTCGTCCGCCGCTCGAGCCTGGGCAGAGGCCGCGCCTGGCAGCACCCCGCCAGCGGCGTCGTCGGCCCGCGGGCGCGTGCCCGCGGGCCCCTCGCCGCCCGCGCCGCCTCCCTGGGGCGGGGCCTGCTGCGGCGCCTGCTGCGGCGGGCGCGCGCCGAGGCCGAGGGCCCGCTGGCCGTGGAGCGCGGGCCGGCCCTGTCCGTGGGGCTGTTCCGGCAGGGGGGCGCCACGCCCTTCAGCGCGGAGGGGGGCGACCTGAGCCGAAACGGGCGCCCACGAGTCGGGGGCGGCAAAGAGGGGGGTGATGACTAGGGGGGGGGGTGGATATCATGGCGGGGGCCATGAGTTGTTTCCCCAGATTTCATGGCGCCTCTTCTTCTCTCATTGCGTCCCTGGCCCCCCCGTTGGGCCGCGCACATGCCGCCGGTCATGATTTGCACCCCCCCCTCTTGGACACCCCCCTCTTGGCCGCTCCCGAACGAGACAGCCACACCGCTGCCGGCGTGGCCGGGCCCGGGCCAGGAGCCGGCGCGCCGTGCTCGCCAGTCGGGTATAGCCAGGGCCCCGGGTAAGGGGACCCGCGCTTAGTGGTAGGCCCCTGGGGCCCTTCAGTTGGCCAGATTCACTAAATCAGGTTTGCCGTAACTGGTGTTTTTCGGGAGACGGCAGTTCCGGGTTAGTGGAAATGGGACGGGGGGGGGGCCCCCGGCACAAATCACGAAACCAGGTTCCATGAAACCCAGTTCTGCCAACGCCCGAGCCAGGCCAGGAGGGCGTATGCGGCGTATGCACCGGTCCTGGGCCCAGGATGGGCCAGACCAGGATCGGTGTAGGTGGATAGGTTCAGAGAGAAAGCTCAGGGCTCGCTGGGGGCTGGTTTCCTCCCAAAACGACGACAGCCGCCCGAAACCCTCCGAAGACCCTCCCGGAGCACTTCCCGCAGGGTCTTCGGAGGGTTTCGGGAGGTTTTCGGCTGTTTTGAAAGGAAGCCAGTCCCTCGCGAACCTTGGATTTTCTAAGTATAGGTGGTGCCTTTCCCTTCCTCCCCTTTCGCAGTTCACGAGCGCGCCCCCCGCGCCCTCCGATGGAGGCGGCGGTACAGCTGGGGATCGAAGGGCGAACTCTGGCACCACCCGCGCGACCGGGGTGCTGGGCGCAACTTCCGCACCCCCGCTGCCCCCGGCTCCGTTCGGCGGTGAGCGAGGGGAGGAAGCGAGAAGGGGCGGGCCTTCTCACAGAAGTCTCGGAAGTCCCCGGGCCTTCTGAGAAGTTTTCTACGCCTTCCCCGAAGACACAAAAAACTTCCCTGAAGGCGCGAGGGCTTCTGAGAAGTCCCGCTGCCTTCTGAGAAGGCCTTCTCCTTCTCACTTCCCCCCCTCGCCCGTCCCCGGCTCCATGCTGGTTGGCATCGCCAGCGGGGCGCAGGAGTTCGGCCAGTCGACAGATCGGCGCATCGCGGCGCAGCCCGCCAACATTGCATTGGGGGCGCGGGGGGTGTTCGCACAATTCAACACCAAGAAGATGCAGGATGTTGTCCGCCAACCGTAGCTGGCGCCCCTCGTGGCCACGGCTGGCCGCAGCTCAGGGAGCCGGTGCGTTTGGAGCCCAGGGGGGGTCGATTCCGAGCTGCCGCCGTCTGAGCTCGCCCCGCTCCGATCGTCTTGGCCCCTGGCGGGCCGACGCCGATGATGAGGATGGCGTCCGAGAGGGGCGACGTCTCTGCGGTCGTGTTCCTGTCTGACACCGTCGCCGCGGGTCAGGCTGCCTGGTCCTCCTCCTCCTGCTCCTCATCCTCCTGCTCCTGCTGCTGCTCCTCCTGCTGCTGCTGCTCCTCCTTCTCCTCCTCCTCCTGCTTCTCCCCCTCCTCCTCCTCCTCCTCCTCCTCCTCCTCCTCCTCCTCCTCCTCCTCGTCCTCATCCTCCTCCTGCTATCACCAGGTCTACTAAGCCTCTGCGCCCCCCAGTGTCTGGGCGGGCCGCCGTCGCCGAATCTGTTTTTTGCGAAGTGCACCTAGTGTTCGGGACCGCCGCCGCCGCCGCGATTTTGTGGTGGGGTCTCCGGCCGAGCTCGCCCGCCGCCGAAATGCCAGGATCACCCCTGGTTACGAAGGGGGCCGCCTTGGGGCGATATTGGTGGCCTTGGGGCGACATTGGTGGCCTCGTGGGTCGTCTTTCAGCATTCGAAGCCCGGGCTGGCAAGGACGCTCGAACCTACGAGGGGGAGGAGGAGGAGGAGGAGGAGGAGGAGGAGGAGGAGGAGGAGGAGGAGGAGGAGGAGGAGGAGGAGGAGGAGGAGGAGGAGGAGGAGGAGGACGGAGGACGGAGGAGGAGGAGGGAGGAGGGGAGGAGGAGGAGGAGGAGAAGGAGCAGGAGGATGAGGAGGAGGAGGGGGGAGGAGGACGAGGAGGAGTAGATGGAGGACGACGACGACGACGAGGAGGAGGAAAAAGAGGGGGAGTACGAGGAGGAGGAGGCGGAGGACAACGGGGGCGAGGATTCACTGGAGCCATCTTACGAAGATGCGGACTAGGACTAGGAGGTGGAGAGGAGGAGGGGGCGGAGAATGGAGACGGTAACGACGACGACGACGACGACGACGACGAGGGGAAGGAGGGGAAAGGGCATGGAGAAGCAGAAACATTGATGCAGGTAGGAGTACGAAGAGGAGGAGGAGGCGGAGGAGGAGGAGGAGGAGGAGGAAGAGGAGGAGGAGGAGAAGGAGAAGAAGGGGGGGTGCAGGAAGAGGAGGTGGATAAAGAGGGGGAGAGGATGATGGGGGGAGGAGGAAAAGGAGGAGGAGGAGGACACAGCAGGAGGACAAGAGATGAGTGTGATGGGTATCAGGAGGAGAGGAGGATAATATAATAGGGCGGCGAGGATATGGGAGGAAAGACAATATAGAATCGATGGCGCGGGGGCGGGTGTGAAAAAAAGATGGGGTAATGCATTAGACGGTAGGAGAGGGGACGAAACATAATAGAACACATAATACAAATCAGTACCGTTGTTTCATGTTACGATGTCGGTATGTTGGAACGGTTGTCGCTTCATCACGTTCAATAATTAGAGGGCGTGTTTGCTCGAAGATTTGCTTTTGCTCGCCAGACAGTATCTACTTGTTTATTCAATTTGCGATGTCGTATTTCCCTCGGGGGGCTGACGTTTACGAGTTTTCGGAGGCGCAAAAAGTATCGGCCTCGACGCGAAACATCAAGGACAGGCGGTCGGTCGAGTGCAAGAAAATTGAGGACAATGAGAAATTGCAGCGCCGGTCGACACTAATCAGATGCATCGTGCACATATTTTGTTATTTAATCGCGCGGAAATTTGGCAACATATTGAAAGACGCAGAATGGAACACAATCACATTTGGTGTACTCCATCAGCAGTGGGCCCACAGCAAATCGAATACTACCAAAAGAGCCAAGATCACACTCCCACCCGTCCCAGAGATTTTTCGATATGTTGTCGGGCAGTTGAATCAAATATCCATTTTGTACGATTACGTTTGCTTTCCCATGTTCAAACAAGGCATTGCTTTTGACAACACTCCATTGAAAAAACTACTCGTTCTACGCCGCGGTGGTCGCAGGGAATAGGTTCCACGATGTCGCGCGAGGCCACGACGAGAAATGGACCGCCGTGGCAAACTACTATATGTCTGCCTTCGGCTCTGTCTAAAGGGATTCCCATGGGGATTCCTATGCGGATCCCCATGGGGGGTCCACCTCCAGACTTTTGGGGCCTCCCGGGGATCTACTTGACTTACGAAACCTCCGATATTTGAATTCATATTGGCCTCTGCGGCAGAAAGAGCCGAATCGTGCGTTTGATATTGTCAAATGCTATTGTTTTGCCAATGCTTGAAGAACGAAGAGCCCGCCAACGTTTCGGAGAACGGATAGCGACAGGAAGTCGACAGACAAATCGACTACACCTATCAAACTCGTGCTCACAAGAGCCACGCCACGTTTGACCTCTGCGGCAGGAAGAGCCGATTCGTGTGTTCGATACATTCAAAAGGCTACGGTTTTGCCATTGCTTTTGGGAACGAAGAGCCCGTCAATGTCCCTCTGAACGGAAAACAACAGGAAATCGACAGACAAATCTACTGCACCTGTCAAACTCGTGCTCACGAGAGCCACGTTTGACTTCTGCGGCAGGAAGAGCCGAGTCGTGTGTTTGATACATTCAAAGGCTACGGCTTTGCCATTGCTTGAAGAACGAAGAGCCCGCGAACGTCTCTGAGAATTGAGAATAACAGGGAATCGACAGAAAAATCTACTACACCTATCAAACTCGCGCTCGCAAGAGCCATGTTTGAACTCCGCGGCAGGGAGAGCCGAGCCGCGTGTTTGACGCAGTCAAAAGCTACGGTTCTGCCATCGCTTGAAGAACGAAGAGCCCGCGAACGTGTCTGAGAACGGAGAACAACAGGGAATCGACCCAAGTATCTACTACACCGACCAAACCTGTGCTCACAAGAGCCACGTTTGAACTCTGCGGCAGGAAGGGCCGAGTCGCGCGTTTGATACCGTCAAAGGCTACGGTCTTGCAGTTGCTTGGAGAACGAATGGCCCGCGAACGTCTCCGAGAAGAGGAGGGCAATGCGAAATCGGCGCAAACGTCTACTACGCCGATCGAACTCGTGCTCACAGGAGCCGCGGCTGACTTCTGCGGCAGAAAGACCGGGGCTTGCGTTTGGCATCGGCAAAGGTTATTGTGTTGTCATTGATTGGGGAACAAAAAGCCAGCGACTATGTCTGAGAAACAATAATACCAGAGAGTCGTTGTTTCAATTTCTACAACACCTTGCAAGCGACTGGTCGCAGGTGTGATATCATCTCAGTTATGTAAGCAAACAATCAAACCGCCCAGGAGTATATGCAGGATCCTCTATACTTATATACAGGGCCCTACAGGATTACATATAGCGCCCGATAGGATTACATATAATACCTGATAGGTTGTTGTATCGGACCCGATAGGGTTACATATAGGATCGCAGATGGTCATCTAGGATGACATGGGATCCCACAGGATCCTACAGGGGTACATGTCGGATCATGTCGGGCCACGGGGGGTTGCATATCGGGCCATCTAGGACCCTATGGGATTACATTCGGGATCCTATAGGGTTAAAGGTGGAATCTAGTAGGAACACCTACATGATCAATTGCGCATTCCTTTCGGACCCCCTCGGGTAACGCATGGGGCACTTTCGTTAGAGATGCCACATAGCATCCCCCATGGCACGGTTCCGACAGAATCCCACGCAGGAGGCGGCCGACGCATGGGGCACTTTCGTTAGAGATGCCACATAGCATCCCCCATGGCACGGTTCCGACAGAATCCCACGCAGGAGGCGGCCGAGGTGTGGGGGCCGTTTTTCCCTACCAGCGCCGCGCCTCCGCTCCCTCCTCCTCCTCCTCCTCCTCCTCCTCCTCCTCCTCCTCCTCCTCCTCCTCCTCCTCCTCCTCCTCCTCCTCCTCCTCTCTCTTCCCCCTCATCTCCTCCCTTCTCCCATCATCATCGTCGTGCCGCCGTCGTCATCGTGGTCGTAATTATCGTCATCCTCACCGTCCTCATCATCATCCTCATCCTCATCATCATCACCATCGCATTATCGCCCTCGTCACCATCGTCGTCATTATCGTCGTCACCATTGTCGCCACCAGCTTCGGCACACCCCTCGCACGCTTCGTGGCCCCAAAGGGAGCTCCACCGAAGGCCCCAGTGGTTGCGTTCGCATGCGGTTCCCCCCCCCCCATTTCGGGACACCCCTCGTACGTTTCGTGGCCTCATAGGGAGCTCCGCCGAAGGCCCCAGCGGCTGCGCCCGCATGCCGCCCGGGCATTTTTTTCGGAACCCCCCTCGCACGCTTCGGGGCCCCATAGGGAGCACCGCCGAAGGCTCCAGTGGCAGGGTCCGCATGCCTCCCCACCGCCAATTTCGGCACGCCCCTCATCGTTTCGTGGCCCCATCGGGAGCTCCACCGAAGGCCCCAGTGGCAGGGTCCGCATGTTTCCCCACCACCAATTTCGGCGCACTTCCCTTACGTTTCGTGGACCCATAGGGAGCTCCACCGAAGGCCTCACATTGCAGCCTCCGCATGCCTCCCCACGACGCATGTCAGCACACACCTCGCACGCATCGTGGCCCCATGGGGAGCCCCACCGTAGGCCCCAAATTGCTGCGTCCGCATGCCTCGTCACCACCCATGTCGGCACACCCTTCACGCAACGGCTGCGTCCGCATGCCTCCCCACCACCCATTTCGGCACACCGCTCACAAGTTTCGTTGCCTCACAGGGAGCTCCACAAAAGGCGCCAGTGGTTGCGTCCGCATGCCTCCCCGCCACCAATGTCGGCACACCCCTCACACGCTTCGTAGCCCTATAGGAGCTCCACCAAATGCCTTAATTGCTGCGTCCGCATGCCTCCACACCACCCATTTCTGCACACACGCCACAAGTGTCGTGGCCCCACAAGGAGGTCCCACGAAGGACCCAGTGGTTGCGCCCGCATGCCTCGCCGCCACCCATATCGGCACACCCATCACACGTTTCGTGGCCCCACAGAGATTTCCACTGCAGGCGCCATTGGCTGCGTCCGCATACATCCCGACCACCCAGTTCGGCGCACCCCTCACACGTTCCGTGGCCCCACAGGGAGCTCCACCGAAGACGGGGCCCTCAACTGCGGTATTCACAGCTGCAAATGGTTTCGCCCGTCGCCAGGCTAAGTCGTTTTTCTGTGGGG